CTTTTTCTGCTGTGGTGCCCTATGGAACATCTTTCCTTTGGAGATTAGAATGGCCATAACCCCGGTTGCCTTTCACAAAGCCCTAAAACCTGGCCATATTCTAAATCCGGGGTGCTGAATGTGTCAGGAGCCCCCTTTCCTGGTTTTATTGCTAACTGGCCAACTCTCAGCTACTATGTGCATTTAGTTTGGATGTTTTCATTGTTTTTTCTTGTTTTAAAATATTACAGCCAGAATATAGCATGCCAACTATAAAAATATGCCAATAAGAAGCCTGCAAGTGTAGATTATCTCTTCCTTGCATTCTCCAGATGTGATTCCCAAAATTTCCTGCCATCAAGATGGGTGGCAATTTTGGGAACTCCATTCCCAATATTTCTGGATAACCAAATTATGTGAAACTGGTGTATTAGGGACTTGAGAGTTTATTAAACAGTCAATAACTTCTAGATGAAGAACTGAAGGTGCTAAAGTATGGTAATATCCTTGCTGAATGGAGATGGATAACGATTGGTTCTAAAACTTGGTATTTCTTCCCGTGTCGAAACCAGCACACATTTCGTTATGTGCCATCTTGAGTATTTCTGCTTAAGCAGACAAATCTCTGAAAAATAAAGTATGTTGCGCACACACAAAAATAGAATCCTGTGGAATTTTTGTAGCTTTGTAGGTCAATAACGGTCAATGAAAAGTTCATCTTGAAACGCACTTGCGGCTGAAATAGACATAATACAAAGGATCTGTCTTCAAATCACCAGTTTCCTATTTGGTAGCATTGTTGTTAAGGATTGTTACATTTCCTCTTTAGCCAGCCCACTAAACACTGGGCTTGGGAAATTAAAAATAAAACTGGTCTGATAAAAATCAAAGCCATGAAATTCGCCCCATCTGTTCTTAGTTAAAAGCTCAATGGTGCATTTATTCAGGCCATTGGAACTGATTTTCTTTTGACAGCCACTAAGACAGAATTACTTGCTGGAGCTCTTTCCTGAAGAAACTTTCCTCTGCTATTCTTTTTTTCTTTTCTTTTTTAATAGATATTTTTATTCAACATTTTTTAAACAGTAAAATCACAATTACCCTTTTACAGCTTTCCATTATTGGTATTTCTTTTTTCTAATTTCAGGTTTTCCATTCTACAACCTATTGTCATTATATCTCTTACTTTCTGAATATATACCATCTTTTATTATATTTTCTATGTTTTCTTTGTTGATTTTACATCTCTTTTCAAGCCAATTATACCACCTATGCCATGTCTTATAGTACTCTGTTTCCTCTCTGTCTCTTAGTTCCATCGTTAATTTGTCCATTTCTGCGCATTCTAGCACCTTTTTTTTAAAATAATCTCTGCATTTGAGAGAATGACTACCCTTTTTTTCATCATGAGATTTATAATCATGGAGATCAAACAGCAAGGGGTTTTCTACTGCTTTCTTTTTCACTGCAGGAGCTGTCCACAGGGCGGCTGGAGCAACAGCTAGTGAAGGTGGAACAGCCCATTCTCCGCATCCCAAATTTGGCCATCCATCTCCAGCGCAATGTGAATGAGAGCTTTGGACCAAACACTGAGAAAAACCTGTGAGAGAGTAAACAGTCCTTGTCCTGTACTGTCTCAAACAAGGAGCCTTTCTTGGAAGCTGTTATGTTGGATCCAGTCAGCTAGTCAGGCTTTAGGAAAAGAGATCTCGGGAGCTCCCTTTATTGACTTTTTTTCTAGCAAGGGCTGGAATGCAAAGGAGCTTTGCTGGGTTAGACCAAAGCCATATTTATTGCAGTATGTTGTTCCCACACTGTCAAACTAAATGGCTGTAGGAAAACCACAAAAAGCAGGGCGCAGGTGTGATAATCCAGTCTCCCTACTATTCCCCACCAATTGGGGAACAATCTTGTTGGTTTCTTAAAGGTATATGTGTACTCTGTGCTATGTCTTGCAGTACTGAATCCTATAGATCAGGATGTCAAACTCAAGGCCCGCGGGCCACATCCAGCCCGCAGGATGCTTAGATCTGGCCCGCGGGGCTGCCCTGGAAACAGCGAAGGACCGGCCTATGGTGCCTCTGCCAGCGAAAATGAAGCACATGGCCCTCCTAATCTCCAATTTCACTGGCAGAGAGTTGCAGGAGGCTGTCGCTGAAAACAGAGATCGGGAGCCCGTTTTCACTGGCAGAGCTCTCGAGCCTCCACAGGCATCCCTGACACGAGTGAGATCAAGCTGGCTATGCCCATCCCGGCCCAGCAAGGTCAAACACAACTCTGATGTGGCCCTCAATGAAATCGAGTTTGACACCTCTGCCATAGATCAATTCTATGCTGTGGACAAAAGTTCTGATTGTCCCACACACATACATACACACTCACATAGAGAGTAACTTTTTATTAGGTACGATTCTGGAAAAAATGTTGCTGTTTTATCTAAGTTTGTAGGTGGGATTCAGGAAGGTCTTTTGCTAATGTGGCATTCTGAGTTGCTAAATACTTCTCCAAGAGGTCTGCCTCAAGGCTTTTCCCCCTGTACATTGTCACACACACACACACACACACACATACACACACACACACACACACACACACACACACACGATACTGCCCCTTTGATTTCTCTGGGTTGAAGTAGTTACTATTAAAAAAGAATCCACCTTAAAATAAACATGTAAAATTTCAATGTTGGACCAGATTTACTCAGAAGAAATTTCTTGAACCTGAGGAGTAATAAGTATTGCTATTCTATCCAGTTCCCTGCTTGCTACAGGAAATCATGAGCAAGAGTATCTTAATTCAAAAGAATCCAACTAAAAGCTGCCTAGAAAGAGA